AGTGTAAATAGTCATATCCTATTTTATGAAATTTGATAAATAGTAATAAAATAGTCATATTTTTGAAAAAATACGGAAAAAATAGGGCTAAATAGAGAAAAAATAGGTATAAAATAGGTTATAAATATGTCGGATTCTACAAGGGAATGGAATTGTGAATTTTCTAACTTCACATTGAATGAATTTTCTAACTTCTGCAACGTTCTGAAATCTTGTTAAGAACACTCAAACTCTTTTGCCTTTCTTAATCTTGGCAAGTTCAGAATAAACTGAGAATGAAACAAAATCAAACCAGGCATACAACTCCATAAGTAAAGACATAACAAGCAACTCCCCAGAGACCTCCAACATTTTTGGAACAAAACGTAACAAAATAGTAGCGTTGATACTGTGATGTGTATTTGCAAAAAGCAATATTCTTTCCTTCATTAAAGAATAATATTCATCCTGCTCTAACCGAGAAATAATCAACTTTGTTTTGAACCCATGAAAAACATAAAAAAATTAGGCTATTTAAGAAAAATTTAAGCGCCTGCCTCGCATGGTCTTTCATGTACCTTTAAGTTTGCAAAGACCTATTAAATACTTGCATAATTTCGAAAGTTCATATTTCAGGAAACAATGAGTTAAGACTTACATGTAAGATGTCTAAATCTACGCCATATCTCTTACAAACCCTAACGACAATTCGCTGAAATACAAGTTAGCCTGATATGTCATTAAGCAAACAAACGCTGGAGTTAATATTTGATATGCCGATTTTCGCTAATTTTAGACACATCCCAAAATACGCTCCCGATTTTGAACATTAATATCTCCGTGAATTTTTAAGTAAAATACAACTGTAACATATCAAAATCTAAGTTAGTCCTTCTTCTATTTAATGCAAGTTATTTCTGTTTGATAAATTTACTTGTTTAGAAGTTATTATAAGTCAAACCGGAGTACTTTTTTTTGGGACACCCGGTATATATATATATATATATATATATATATATATATATATATATATATATATATATATATATATATATATATATATATATATATATATATATAATCACCTGGCAAAAAAGCCATTTAAATAAGTTAATCACCAACACATATTGACGTTTCGACTTTATTGTCTTCTTCCAAGTAAAAATCGTTAACATAAACCCCTACTTATATACCCTACCAGACGAACATAATTATTCATAGTCCTATATATATATATATATATATATATATATATATATATATATATATATATATATATATATATATATATATATATATATATATATATATATATATATATATATATATATATATATATATATATATATAGATATTTATATATATATATATAGATATTTATATATATATTTATATATATATTTATATATATATATTTATATATATATTTATATATATATATTTATATATATATTTATATATATATATATATATATATATATATATATATATATATATATATATATATATATATATACCGGGTGGCCCAAAAAAAAGTACTCCTGTTTGATTTGTAATAACTTCTAAACAAGTAAAGTTTTTAAAGAGAAATAACTTGCATTAAATAGAGGAAGGACTAACTTAGATTTTGATATATTACAGTTGTATTTAACTTAAAAATTCACGGATATATTAATGTTAAAAATGGGGAGCATATTTTGGAATGTGTCCAAAATTAGCGAAAATCGGCATATCAAATATTAACTCCAGCGTTTGTTTGCTTAATGACATATTAGGCTAACTTGTATTTCAGCGAATTATCGTTAAGGTTTGTAAGGGATATGGCGTAGATTTAGACATCTTACATGTAAGTCTTAGCTCATTGTTTCCTGAAATATGAACGTTCGAAATTATGCAAGTATTTAATATTAGGTCTTCACAAACTTAAAAGTACATGAAAGACCATGGAAGGCAGGCGCTTAAATTTTTCTTAAATAGCCTAATTTTTTTATGTTTTTAATGGGTTCAAACAGACTGAGTAGATTATTTCTCGGTTAGAGCAGGATGAATATTCTTTATTGAAGGAAATAATATTGCTTTTTGCAAATACACATCACCGTATCAACGCTACTATTTTGTTACGTTTTGTTCCCAAAATGTTGCATGTCTCTGGGGAGTTGCTTAATTGTTATGTCTTATGGAGTTGTATGGTTTGATTGTGTTTCATATAATTCTCAGTTTACTCCATGAACTTGCCAAGATTAAGAAACGGCAAAAGAGTTTGGGTGTTCTTAACAAGATTTCAGAACGTTGCAGCAGTTAGAAGAGCTTCACAATTCCGTTGTGACAGCATGCCCTAATTCAGAACTACGAACGATCCAATGACGATCCTTCGCGATGCAGTGGTCTCATGAAATAAGGAACGTATTCGTGCTAGGAACACACGCGAATTTCGGACGAATGAATCTTGCTTGTATTTTGTAGATATAATAATACTTTGTTTCATAATAAACAATTTGTCAAGTGTCATTTATTTACTGGTAATAGTGCATGTTTCAGTCGTGCAAATCTTGATTAATATTTGATACGCCGATTTTTGCATATTTCAGACACATCCAGAAATATCCTCCCGAATTTAAAGATTAATATCTCCGTGAATTTTTAAGTGAAATACAACTGTAATATATCAAAGTCTAAGTTAGTCCTTCCTCTATTTGATGCAAATTATTTCTCTTTAAAAGCTATACTTGTTTAGATGTTATTACGAATCAAACAGGAGTACTTTTTTTTGGGCCACCCGGTATATAATATGATAGGATATATATATGTATATATATGTATATATGTGTATATATATATGTTCTCAAAACAGAACAGACACACTGGATTTATAAACAATTTATTTAACAGATTTCAATACTCGAAAAAAAGACTAAAAAAGTCCCAAATAAAACAAAACTTTTAACGTTTTATGCTCGTCGTCGACTTCTCCCAAGTGCCCTTTGCGCGCCTAGTGCATAGGTAACCCAAAACTACTTTATGTCAATCAACCGGAAATAAAAAACAAACAAACGTCATAAAGTTCCAAAACATCCCCCTCCCGAATACGAAGTGTTCGCTTTAATTAAGTCCAGTTCGTTTACTCTAGATTAATGTCTCAGGTTCTTCAATCATCACTTTCAAGTGGGCACAATCGATGTACTGGACGTTCGTAAATACTTTCGCCAACTTTAACTTTAACTACGCGAATTAACCCGTCTTTCCCCGGGTGAACTTCAGTGATGCGTCCCAAGGGCCATTCTCCACGTCTAACTTTGGGATGCATGAGCAATACCACGTCTCCTTCTTTCATATTTCGTCGAGGATGATACCACTTTCCACGTGTGTTGAGGTTTGGCAGAAATTCTTTTCTCCAGCGGGCCCAGAACTGGCCGAGTAATTGCTGAACGCGACGCCACCGTTTCCGTGGATTGCAGGCTTCGTCGACGTCTAAAGCTTCCGGTGCATAGTGTCCCCCGAGCTGTCCCACGATGAAATGGTTCGGGGTCAGTGGAGTAAGGTCGTTTGCATCAGAACTAACGTAGGTAATCGGACGAGAGTTAAGTTGACCTTCGGTTCCAACGATAGCTGTCTGAAGCTCTTCGTCTGTAACACTTGCGTCGCCAAGGATTGCTCTCATCGCCTTCTTGCTACTCTTGATCATCGCTTCGAAAACCCCTCCAAAGTGCGGCGCTGATGGGGGGTTGAACTTCCATTCGATGCTGTGATGCGGTCGTGTTGTTGCATTGATGATTTTGTCTTGGTCGAACTTTTCTAACAGCTCACGTAATTCTCTTTCCGCACCGACAAAGTTCGTTCCGTTGTCCGATACGACGTACGTTGGCGTCCCCCTCCTTGCAGTCATCCGGATAAAAGCATTAATGAACGAATCCGTGTCTAGAGAATACGCCATTTCGAGGTGTACCGCGCGAGTGTTGAGGCAGGTAAATAGGCACAGATACCGTTTGGCTTTCGCTTTTCGTCGGCCTTGTTTTGTGAGGAAGGGACCTCCGTAGTCTACTCCCACACGCTCGAATGCTCGGAGGGGCAATTTCAATCTTGCTTCTGGAAGCGGGGCCATCATTTGTCCGACTGGTTTAGCTCGGAATTGACGTCGACATCCGCGACAAGTTTCCACGACGTTTCTCACCGCTCGTCGTCCTTTAACGATCCAAAACCTCGTTCGTAACTCTGCTAGAAGGTGCTCTGTACCAGTGCCGTGACCGAGTTTGGAGTGTTCGTAGGCGATAACAAGCCTGGTGACGGGGTGATCTTTCGGAAGAAGAATCGGATGTTTGACATCGTAAGGTAACTCATTTGCATAACGTAAACGACCGTTTAGTCGCAACAGTCCGTCTTTATCCGTCTTCGGATTTAGTTGTGCTAACGATTGTTGTTTCTCTCCATCTGGAAAGGACTCTGCTTGTGTTCTTCGTAGCCACACGGTCTCGGCTTCGGTGATAACCTCTGACGCGAGTGTTGCGC